ACTAGTTGGGTGTATTATGCAAGGCTATGGAACTGAATTTGTAATTTACGAAATAAAATAATGTGCGGGGAATCCCCAGCACTTGACAAGCTGTAAAATTGAGCAGCTTGTGTTCCAAATTCAGTGTAACGCTATTAACCCTTGTAAATTGTGAGGCAACTAATTAGACAATTATAAATAGTCATAGAACTCTCTCGAGTTGAGAGAGTTCGCCTTGGAAATACCCTGAAACCCGCAGTTAAATATGAAAATATATTTAGGATGAATAAATGAAAATAAATTTAAAGTCTTTAAAGTCTCATACAGATGGGCAGGCAGACAATTGGGCAGAGCTTGACTCGACTAGACTATTGTTGCTGATTAAGAATAGATATAATATATTCAGAATACCTTTCACACAAATATAAATATAGTTAGCACTTTTCTGTAGAATTTTGTAATAACATTTGTAACTCAATTTAAATGTTCCTTTTTATATTCAACAATACTAATAATATGTCTGTAATTCCTGACAGATGGCCACTTATATTTTCAATTTGTGCATTGATTTTTTGTTTGGCTGTCCTTTTTCTTATATATTTTTTTATATATACTTTTGCTGCACACTCGACTAACTCTCGATATTATTTATTTTTGTGTCGCAATGCGGCAGTCGCATAAATTGCAAATTGAAGCAGAAAGAAGCACAAATACATTTCCTCTTCGGCTCAAGCTTGATTAATTTCCGAGCTGGCTTGCAAGCGATTTTATTTGCTTGTCTGCCAAGGAAATTGAAAATGGATATTTATCCATATCTATATCCTATATCTAAAGGACGAGCGATGGATTTCGTAATGCTCTGAATGGCTTTAAGAGTCAATTTAAGTTAGCAGCTGTCAAGTTGAGTTTGTGTTTTCTTACGGCAAAAGTAAATCAGGTCAAGAAAAAGAAAAGTGACCTGTCCAAAACTAAGTAGGTTAAAACCACAATTAGACAAACACACCCATTGAAGGGAAATGAATGAATGACAGTTTTCCGCTCAGCTGTTTGTAATGTTTGTGCAAAAGAGCTTTTGGCCAATTGATTGGCTTTGCTGATTGCTGCAATTAAGAAATTCCTGGCTATAACTATCGACGCTTTATAATTTTTATCACATACATTTTTTATCGCAAATATCACAACTTCATCAGCAATCACAGCAACCAGGAGCAACAACAGCAACAAAAGCAGCAGCAGCAACAAGCAAGCAGACAATTAGCCATCAAATTAGCTGCAAGTCGGCTCAAGGAATGTGGCCGCCAAGGCAAATTGAAAACAATTTAAGTTATTTGCATATAAATGCAACCCAAGACGCAGCCAACAACAGCAGCAGCAGCAGCAACAACAGCAGCACAACAGCAGCAGCAACATCACAGCAGCAACTGCTGCATATTGGCCATGTTAACGTGTTGGGAGAGTGCATGGATGCTTCCCGTGTGCCCAGTTCCCAGTTTGTTTATCACGAATGCATTGGCCATATTAAACAAGCTAGAATGTGCTCGACGATTCTTAGATCGACTTGCAGATGTCCTGTATACAGCAGTAAAAGTTCTAAGGGGCTAACAGAAACTAACTTGAAGTATTTTCTGTTTCTCTACATCACTCTCTTCTTATCTTTCTCTCTGTTTTCGTATCACTTACAATCTCTCTCTATCACGAAAGCCAAATCATTAAGTCGCTTTTATGGTTTACAGGGTATAGAAAATGGCGTGTTGTTGCCACCAATTGAGATAATGCCAAGTGCATTGACGTTTTAACAACTCAAGAATATCAATATTGATATCACAGCCTAGCAACAAACACAGCTCAAATGATTTATCAGCTATGGAACCCAATAACAATGATGAAAACAAAACTCGGAAAACAAAATTAAAATTTGAAGCGCCAGAGTGAAAAATATAAAAGGAAACACTTGCATATAAAGGCAAAAGAAACGTAAATAAAATTAAATGGCTGCGGCTGTTAAAATAGTTGAACTAAAGTTCAAACTACATTTCACGCCTAATTTGATTTGACAACAAACGAGTAAAAATACGCTGGACATTTTTTTACACACATTTCACATATTTTTGTTGCGGGCGCTGTTGTTAATTTTCAGGCATAATTTTCAGGCAAAGCGGCAATCCGGGAGTGGGGTGTGGGGTGTGGGGTGGTGCCAAATCGGGGGTGTGGGGGAGCAGACTGACTGGTTATGACAGCAGCAGCAGCAGCAACAGCAGCAACAGCAGCAGCAGCTGCAAAGCTGCATTTGAATAATTTGCAATTAAAGTGGCAAAAACTCAACTCGGAATTCAGCTGGAGCAATCAAGCAGGCCAAAAACTGTCGAGCATTTCTTTTGCTGCGGTAAATGGTGGCGTATGCGTAATATATGCATATATTAATTTGTATATGTATATATATATATATTCGAATGAGGTTGAAGATTGAAACGGGTTTGTGGCCAGCTAGTCAAGAATGAATCGAAATGTCCGCATCCATCAGCTGTCCACGCTTCAAGCTCGGTGATGCTGATGAAGACAGCAGTGAGACCGAGAGTCCGAGAGACCGGTCAAAACCAACACCCAACTGTGTTTCCAATTAAACGCCGCTTTGGCAAACAACGACAATGACAGCAGACAACTACAACAACAACAGGAGGAACGACAGCAGCAACAACAACAGCAACAACAACAACAACATCAACGTCATTTGTATCTGTTAGATGCAACAACTTTCAGTTTGCTTTACTGTTAGCTTGTCAGCTACAGTTGCAGTTGACTCTCTGCCAAAGAGCCAAAGAAATTGAACTTGAATGTTTATGTGGCAGGCGCTTTAAATCAACATGGGGGGTCCCTAACACGCACACACACACACACACACACACTCAAACACACACCAGGTAAGACATGAGCCTATTAAGAGCGAAACCCGTTCAGTTCGTTTGCAACATGTCAACATGTTGTCAATCAATTTGAAGCTGTTGATTTGCTGATTGATTGCCTTTGATTGATTGCTGTGACTTACAATTTGCTAGTGTGCCCCAATTGATTTGAATAAACTGTGCTTACAGTTGAATTTTTAAAGCATTTTCAGACAGCTCTTGACTAATTCTAAACACGAGCTTACAACTATAAGTTGTGCATCATTTAGATTCATCAACTTTATATATAGGTTAGCTGAGCAAACAAATTGTTTTGTTTATGATATTTCGTCATTTTGATAACTTACTAATGACTGATCAATATGAATTTCAAGTGAATAATGAGCTCATTAGTAGCTCATTCATCCTCGTCAAATGAGACTGTTGTTGTCTATTGTTGGCAAACTCAATTTGTATATTGCATTCATAGTTTTTAGTGACATAATCATGTTTCTGCCCTTCGCTTACATTTTGGTAATCGCATCGTTTCTGGTGCAGACAGGGCTGAGTAAGTTTTGTTATACTTGCAACAGGAATACCCTTAACATCTATGTGTGTATATATCTTTCCACTTCAAGCACTACATCCTAAATTCACAAGCTTCGGCTGCGATTTCAATCCAGAGTTCGTCTCGAATTTGACGTGTTGGCTGTCGAAGGATGGCACCTTTAATGCCAATTTGCAATTAGCTCAACGCTTTCAGCCTGGCGTGAAAATTTCTGTAACAGTTCTGTATCAAATTGAAAATAGTGCGAATTATCTAACGCTATTCGACTATGAAATAGACATCTGTAGGACACTAAAAGCTGCAAAGAAGTCCAGTCTGACCAGCATCTGGATTGACAATATATTCAATTACATAAATCTAACAAACGAATGTCCCTTTAATGCTGTACGTACAAGTATTCATATATATAAATCTATATATGTCCATATATTTATATATATTTTTACCTTCTTTAAGGGCATGTATGCAGTGCGTAATTTTCGACTGGAGGACCAAAGCATTCCGATCTTTTTTCGACCTGGCAAATATCGTATTAGTGCCATCACCCATTTAGCCAAAGGCAAGAAACGCCGTCGCATACACTCTGTCAAATTGGAAATGAGCTTGTCTTAAAGAGATAAAAGAAATAATAATGTGCAGCCTGTTTTATTTAACTGCACTTTCAGACTATTGGCCAAGTGGGTCAATGGTATTAGTGTGGGCAGGGCTAACAAGTTTTTCACGGGCCAAGTTCGCAGCATTCGCTCGAGTTAAGCTTTTTTCTCAAGGTTTGCTTTTGGTTATCCGGTTCTTAAATTGACTCTGTTTCCTCTGTTAGATTATTAGAATACTTCAAATTGACTACACATTCGATCTTGACATTTTCCCTAATAGTTTGCCACAGAACTTTCGTTAGCGTTTTTCGATTACATAAGCATGCCAAGGCCTTGTGCAATTTGTGTCTGTCGCTTTTTCAAGTATTTTAGCCGTCTTTCACTTGGCTGTGGTTTTGGGCTGACAGGAGCAAAAGCAGCTGGCGCTGAGCAAATAAGTTTTTGGTTCCTTGTGTGCTGCTTTTGGTGGTCAGTGTGTGATATATGTTTGGACAGCGCAGTCTTTAACCTAATTGCATAATAAATTCAAGTGAATTTATTGTTAAGAATTTAGTTGGCCACATTGCAATATCGTTTAATAACTGTCAAAGCGTCTGTCAAATTAACTGACTTGCAGTTAAAAAACAAAAATGGGGCGTGACTGACTGCTCACAATGTTGCTGTTGGTTTAATATCATGTGATAATTATTATTAGCAGTGGGTGTTTAAATTATGAGCCTGACTTACCCAGTAATTCAGCAATGTGCAATTTGGGGGGGAAGTACCAGCAAAATGGTGCCTGTAAAAACAAATTGAAAGGGGAGCATAAATTATATTGTATATGATTATAGGGTTGGGCTGGGCAACTAGGCAAACAAAAATTGTCAATAGATATATAAATATTCAATGTGGAATATTTTTAGGGAAAACTACATTATACATTATATGTATATATATTTGTATATTTCATAATTAACAATAAATTTGCGATTTTAATTGCAGGTTACCACAGTTTACGGTCTATGCCAAGATTATTTACCTCCTGATGGTGAGTAATTATTATTGATAAGTTACAACCGACAATAACATAAATGATATAGCACTTAAAAGAGTAACATTATCTTAATTAAGATACGATCTGCACATTTTTTATTTGTTTGTTTGTTTATTTTTTGTTTTTGTATTGTTTATTGATAAAATACCATAATATTTAAAGAACGTAACATTGGATACTCATCAATTTTGCATTCCGATGTGTATAAATACGATATCGCAAGTTATGTCATTGTAAACAATTTGGCTGGGAGCAACCAACCCAAACCAAACCCAGCCATTTTCGATGATAAACCATCGAAACTATGCCAAGTATTTTATCGCATCTGATTGGCATTGCCCTCAAAAACAAACAATCAATGAAAATACCAACAAAAAAAAAACACAAAACATAATAATAAATGAAAATACAATTGCCTACCGATATAAATTGACACTTGCACTGGCCATCAGCAAATATTTACCAAATTTATCGGAGGAAATAAAAAAAATATATAATCATAAGCGATTCGAGTGATCGACGATCAAATACCCTGTAGGTAAGGCAAAAACTAAAATGAATATGCCAAGGAAATTGCCTTAAGAACAGATTCTCAAAGAGAATCTCGTACATACTGTATAAACTATATCGACTTAAAAGAAGAATAAAAGCATTTGTTTAAGCTATTAACAACTATACATATATATATATTCAAAACTTGAAATATGTTGCATCTCTGAGAATATATAGAAATTCAAGCGGGATCGACTTCATACTAATCGACTTGAAGTTGATACAGAAACTCGAATTATCATTGTCTTCCATTTATTACAGGGTATATTAAAAAAATGAAATGTGTGCAAGTTAAAGTAAATAATTATAAAATGCCAACAACTGTTCGCTAATTAAATTATACTGTTTGCGCCAAAGCTCTTTACATGTTCATTTCACATTCGCATTTATTTGCCTGTATTTTTCATATGTATTTTTTTTTCATTTTAATTTATTTTACAATCAATTTTAAGTGGGCCCCTGGGCATATACACACTGTACGCATGTGTGTGTGTGTGTGTGTGGTTGTGTATGTGTGTGTGTATGCTAATATGTGTGTGTGTGGATGTGTCTCCGTTGTTAATGTGCCGAAATAAATAACTGAAATGTCTGAAATTCCGCTGGCATGAAACAACTTGGCGACGTCTTTACAAGTTCCGTTTGACGTAAAGTTCCATCTTGCTATCTCTCTCTCTATCTGTCACTATATCTCTCTCTCTCTCTCTCTTGCTGCATGAATTTACAATGTTTACGTGTAAGCCAAGCGAGAACCGTCTGCCTACCTCTTAACTCGTATTTATTTGTTCTAAATGAACTTTTTCGCAAATTATTTTCATATTTCTTGTTTTGTTTTTGTTTTTTTGGCATGTGCTAAGACTGTGACTCTTGGGAGTCGGTAGACTGAGTCGTTCTTCAAGTTTGCCTGAATTATTCAACGCTTCGAGTGTTTTGAGTATGTATATATATAGATATATATATATACATAGTTGAAGTATTTGTCTGTGCCTGGGGCACATATTGTGCGCTGTGGCATCTGAATGTGTGAGAAATATGTTTATGCCGCGCCGTTCTTGTTGTTATTGTTGTTGTTGTTAGTACTCCTGAACCTCTTCAGTTCAAATTGGTCAATTATGAAAATGCCTTTCACCATTTTGGCAGAGGAATTTGCCAGTAAATTGAGTGCGAGCCAATAATAGACAAATTTGCAAAAACTTAATTAAGCGAAAAGCGAATTCGTGGTTGGCTAAGATGAGTTGCCAAAAAGTTTGAATATCTTTCAATGGCATATTAATATTTATTGTAAGTAGAAAACTGATATAAATAGTTATTTGGCTGGCTTCATCAACAAGACAACAATCAACAATTTTTCTCAAATTATTTTTACAAAGAACAATAGATATAAAACAATATTAAACATTTTTATTATTAAGCCTCAAATTGGAAAATAATAGCTCAGATTTAAGTTAAGATAAGTATATATTAATATGCAAACTGGAATTAGTAAGCTCTCCTTTTAATAAACTTATAAGACGACTAAAACTGGAATGAATATTTTCCACATTTAATTTATTACATTGAGGGTATCTATTACAATACTTAATTTTTCATTTTGCTTCGCCAACGTTGCTTAGAACAAACTAATTAAATCACGTAAAGCCCCATAAATATGACAGTCATATAACTGTAAGTTGTATAAGTATGAAAAATCAAATATATTATTAAATTTACAGTATGGGCACAGGCAAGTTTTACACGATCAATTTTTTGTTTATAGCCGGAGCCGTTAGCCATTTCAAATTGAACAATTTATATGTGTACGTAATTTAAGGCTTTTTTACGACTTACTAAATGCGCCTTATTGGAGTTCGACACAGGCAATAAAAAATTCAAAATCAGTTTCAGCAGATAAATTATTATTTCATAAATAACACCATTGATTGCACGCAGGAAATGTGAAAATGTTGAGCAAGTGTGTAAGTCACCAAATAAATCAAAAATCTTATTGCACAGCACAAGTCGAGTGTGTTTCAGAAATGAAATTGAATTGATTCAAGTTCGAATCAACTTGACTCTTATATCATCTACAGTGTCAGAGTCACAGGCGACACTTTTAATAAAGCTAATGCAAAAGGGTTTATTATTAATGCCAAGGGGTTAATAATATTGTGTATTTTTTGTGTGTGTACATAAAACAGTTGACAATAATTAGCGTGAGCTGTGCAAATAAATGAGCAATCAACGGACAAATTGGCGGCACTTTTATTATTGAGCTTAGCAGTGTTTTTAATAGTGCCAGGCGACGACGCATTTAACACTGTGCTCAATGACTCATTGTCTACCAAGTGGGTCCAAAAGAAACTACGTTTCAACTATTAATTTTACTATTTGCTATCGGATAATAATAAAAATCGGCTTTCTTATCTTAACGCATTCGTATCGTTGGATTATCGGTAAAAGTGACTACAAATGATAAAGTGTATATCAATTGACACAATTTGTTTGCCAGTGCAAGAATATTATATATTAAAAGCAATGCACTTTATTCCCTTCAGTCGCCATTCGCAGAGCAGATGGACGGGATCGGTTTTGAATAGTAACGCTTCTATCCATCTTGTGTAATTTTCGTTCTTATTACAACCGTAGTAAAAGTCTTATATGACACATAATTATCTTTGCGATAGCATATACCAAAATAATATAAAGATTATGCTACGAATTGTTAAAGTTCACATCTTCAAAATCTACGCTCATCAAATAGTGTGACTCATGATAAAAAGACAACCGATTAAGCAGAGTCATATCTCCATATCTGTTTTTTGACTTCTTATCTTTAGCTGATCATAAATTAATTATGATTTTTCTTTAATTGCACAATCACACTCACACACACACTCCGGCTTACATATTCTTATTCTGTAAACCAAATTTCATCATCCATCGCAATCTAAGCATTACAAACTACAATTTCATGTTATGTTTATGCATTGGGTAAGTAAGTAAAATTACTGAGTATTTAATTACCAGAATTGAAGAAGTCTGTTTATTATTAGTGTTGAAAAGGGATATTATTATTAGAACTTGAAAAATGTTGAAATAGATCTAGGAAACAAATTCACTTCTTATAAACATTAGACAATTTAATACACACGAAAGGAATACACCATTATTTTTTCACACATATCACACAAATGGGAATACCTTTAAGTGAAATGCCTTTCAGGTTGCCAACTTATCGCACATTCTCAAAGGAACTGCACTTTCTCACGGCGAGACTGAAGTTTTTATAGCACAAGATGATTGTAATGCGATGATAAGAAAGTGATTTACATAGCCAAATTGCATGGTGCGAAAGCAGCGCAAATTATGCAAATTGAGCGCCACACAAGCCACTCGACTCCAACAAAAACGAAGGCCAACAGTGCCAGGGTGTAACCCAAAAATGCAATCTGTGCACCCCAGATAAAATCTTCCATTTGCATTGCTTTTGGCACCCACACTTTTCCCATCGAATTTATTGAAGTGTATTTTCGACTATTACGACTTGCAGAATAAACCGCTTCGAATTTGCTGAGTTTTATGAATAGAAAACAATTGGCAACAAGTAGCACAACTATGACTCTTATCATGACGTTGGCCATTCGGAATATTTACTGACACTCACTATGATTGACCCAATGCTTTTATATAGACTCTCTTGCACTTTGCGTACTAATTACACCCAATTAAAATAACCCATGTCATTTAATTACGATCAAATTAATGAAAGTTCGAGTAAAAACTTATGTAGAGGGTTGCTTAGTTTCCACTCAAAATATGCAACACTTGAGATATGATTTTAAAATATTATCATATTCATTTTAATACTGATATTGATATTTATGTTGACTTTCATATTCATAATAAAAATGTAAAGTTTAGTTTCACCAAAAACTATCAACCTTCATTTTGTGGATTGTTAAAGGATATTTACTAATTTCTATGCTCATTTATTAACAATAAACAATCGATTTCAAGTTAATCAAAAGTTTATCAGATTTGTCACATTCTGAATAAAAAAAAATTTGAATAAGGGCATAGAAAGTGTGTTGCTTTCCACCTTTTGCATTTGGCCATGGTTTCTTCAGAGTTTTTTTTTTACAGTTGTTATTAGGTTAGTTGTTATTAGGTGTTTGCTCTTGGCTATGTGGCATAACCAAAAACTCTGCCACACACGCGTGCTTATCAACAAATTATTTCGAAACGTTAATTGAATTGTCAATAGATGTGTGGAACAGTTTTGGTTGCCTTTGGCAACAAGCCAAAATGATAGCAACAACAACAACAACAACAGCAGCAACAACGATAGCTGTAGATATAAACCACATATACATATTTATGTATATATGTATGTATATACGTATGTACTTCTTGGTATTGCCTCTATAAATTCCGAGAGCTAGAGCTATATGTAAAAAGTGTGTCGT